GATGTCAGTAGCCACTTGGCTAGTAAGTTGAAAAGTTAGTGTCGAGCCTGAGTGATATGTATTCGTTAGTCCTATATTTTATTAACCAAGCCTAAGGGCCATACTGGGAGAGTGTTAGTATTAACTAAGAATGTTACAAAAAGTAAGATGGTAAACTTTGAGCTTGGTCTTCAAATCTTTCTCGACATTGGAATCAAACCTCAGACCTTACAATTTTGCACTCCCGTACTTTCTCTACAAAGAAGTGGATGGTCAGCAATGCCATTATGTGTGTTTTTTTTTTTTTTTTTGCCAAAACATCCTGCAATCTGCAAGGATCTATTAGCTTGTCTATCATATCTTATAAAGTCAGGATGAGTTATAAATCAGGGAATTTTTATCCATAGCACATTTTGTAAACATGCCCTCTGCAAAACAAGCTTGCAAATTTGTCAGATTAATGCAAGAAGAAGAAGCAGGGTCACTCTGAAAAGAACCATTTAATTAAAAACTGTCTTTTTGGCTGGTACCTTTTGTTTGGAACTCTTTGTCTACAAGGAGGAGGCTGGAAGTGTGATAGTAGTTTCTTTAGCTTTCATAGGTGGCAAATCATAGCAGCAATTATAATTATATCTGCCATTTATTTGCAGATAATGATGAAATTGAAACAGATAGTGGGGAGATGTCACCCACCTTGATCTGTGGCTCACCCAGTCCTAGTCCTAGTGATGTGTCAGATGATTTGTCGTCAGGTTCAATGACCACCTCTTCACAACCAGTACGCCAAGTGTCAACAGCTTCACAAACATCTTTTCTGTTCCCATCCCTTACCTCTTCAGCAAATGATAAGCTACCATTCATTGACCTGTCAATGTGGCGGCGTGAAGAAATCTGTTGTGGCACGATATTCAGAGGGCCTCACGGTGAGGTCCTTGTAGACCCTAAACTTCTGAACCCTGTGTGCACGTGCTCCTGTAGTGCTAGGCCCCCTGTACATGTTGCTGAAACGAATAGTGTCAAGTAGAAACTATATAGTGCTGTAGACTGAAAAGTCTGTGTAGAGAATTGCTTCCAATTCTGTTTGTGACAGAGGCCTTTAGCACATGTACAGATGACATAGCAAATGTGGTCTAATTTTATTTTAAGACAATTGAATGCAAGGTATGCCATAGTTCCTAAGTCCTAAAAACTTAGAGCTGAAATTAAAAATCTTTTGTGACATCATAACAAATTGCATTTTTGAAGGTAAGACTAGAATTAACTTGTATCGTCATAGCCTTAAAATGAGTCCAGTGCTATCATTATTTCCAAAGCTTGAGAATTATTATCTTATGGTTCATGCATGAAATATTCTAGACCGCTTTTTTTCATTACTAATTTTACGTCAATCTGGGTATTGTTGGAATTTTTATGTTCATTGATTTGTTAGTTTTCTTTTTTGTTATTTTGATATTTTGTCTAAATATTTGTATATCGTTAGAACTTTTGCATTGGAAGGTTTTTTACATTTTTGTTTGCTTACCTTCTTCAGCAGTCTCATTCTTTTTTTATGACTGCTTACAGAGCAAAACTGAATCGCCCTATTTTCCTAGTATAATAACTGTTATCTGGTGTACTTAAAGTCGTGTTTCATTCTTAAGGAAATTGCTATGTGAAAAACTTTAATGGACTGGACTTTACGCACATACTCACAGAGGATGCAAACATACGTTGACTGTTCTGTGTCTGCTTCTGAAATTAAACCCATTTACCTCCAAGATCTGATTGTCAATTTCTCCTCTCTAGCAACAGAGCCCAGTACTACATATTATCTTATAAATTAGTCACAAGAATTTGTTGTTAGATAAGATAACAATGTGTGCCTGTTACTTTGGAGTATTCTCAATACCTGTTTGCTAGATAAGTATGAATATGCTAGGGAGAGGTTATATGTTAATCACTTTGAGAGTTGCACAGTTTTAAAAAAACATGATTACTTATCTAAGGTTTAGGCATAGGTTGATGAAGTGAACTGCTTTTCACTTTGCATGTCAGTAGTCTGTTGATCAGAGATGTCAAGGTGAATGCAGTTCATTATTCATTGCCCCTGGCAAGCTCTTTCACATGTTGCTATAATCATCAAAGTATAGTATAGTTTCACAGAGAGAGCCAACCAAATCCAGTTTAGATTGCCTGATTGTACTTATACATGCATGTACCCGACAGTTTTCTTTGTGCTGTGCCTTAGCCCTTTCATGTCAAGGATCTATATACCAACTTTTAGGACTTCGCATGTATTACGTATACTTTTAGATGTAAGTATTTCGTATTTAATCAAAGATATTCCCAAGAATGTAATTCCAATGTATTCCAAATTGGAACATCTAGTTAGCTGAAAAAATTCATGTTAGGACGTTCAGGTGGTGAAAGGGTTAAATAAGCCATCAAAATCATTGGACATATTCCAAATATCAATAATTTAAAAGTTAAATTATCAACAAAGTTGCTAAAAATCCATTCTTAACAGAAACTGAGTACTCCTACCTGGAGATAATTCTTGATCATCGATTGTTATTATTTGCACTTGCTATCAATATCCACTTTTTTTTATATTGAAACTCATTTGTTGTAGCAGTTGTTGTGGTATAATTGTGGAAGTTTGCTGCAATTTTTCCATCTTTGTACATAGTTAAACAGTCAGGTTAGATTTTTAATAGTGTACATAGTGCTGTGACCTGCTTTCATGTTAATAGTCATGGAGTGGGCTTCTTAGGATTATTGAAGGTAATTTTTAAATTGGAGGATAAATCTTACCATAATAACTAGGAAGTTAAAATGACAGAAATTGAAGAACATTTCCAGACTTTGAAAAAACCAGTAGGTGCAGATCATCTTCCAAATCCCTTTGTTATCACTACTGACAGTGTATCAGTATCAGCGATAATGCCTCAGACAGACTTGGCAATTGTGATACAGGGCACGACACTAACGGTAGCCCACTAGCCACAGACTAGTAGAAATTCGGTTTTGGCTAGTGGTTTTCGATTTCCACTAGCCAGTTTGGCTAGTAAACAGACTGAAATTGTTGTAACTTCTAAAAACATCTAAGATGTCAGTAGCCACTTGGCTAGTAAGTTGAACAGTTAGTGTCGAGCCCTGAGTGATACGTATTTGTTATTACTTTCGCAGTGGTGTATTTGAAAGGGTACATAAGGAGAAAGCCATTCTTTGTTTAGTATAGTTAAAAATTAGTTGTATTAAGACTGTGAGCTACCCCTCTTTCAAACATTTTTTTGGGCAGCTCTTTTCCATTTCCTTTTCTTATGCTTTTTTACTCTAATTTACAGTGAAACTGAGTTTATCTTAATGGATGGCCTAAGCTAGAAAAGAAGAACTACTTGTAGAAAAGAAGTAAAAAGTGTTCAGTGTCCTCATTGGTCTATACCTTTCAGATTAGTTTGTTTTGCAACATCTACTTAGCATAATATAATCCTAAGGTTGCTCAAAAATATGTTTTAGTACTTTTTCTATATGTCATATATATAATTGTAGCAACCTGTAATGAAGTGTGATATTTATTAATTTACAGGTAGATCTAGAAAATAACAGAGAATTATGAAACACATTTGGAGCATATTGTTCCACATTAAACTAGTTTGTAGTTGGTAGAAATTTATAGGTTATGATTTGATCCAGAGCTAGCATTTTAATATAAGGGTTTTGAAGAGACAGTGTAATCAAGTTTGCTAATGAAGTAAGTTATTTTTTAATGATACTGATATAAAAGTAGTTGCACAGCTTTCTGTGTTCTTGTCGATTTTCACCTTGCTCCTAAGACATGAAATATTATCTAGACCTTCCATTTTCCTAATTTTACCATAAAACTGCTTAAAGGGATCTGATGGAGTTGTGGGAAGATAAGAATTATTTTGTCTCTCTCAACTACTTAAATAGATGACGAACTGAATTTTTAACAAGGGTGGGAACGGGATACAAGCCCACTCAATAGGGGCACTCCAGTGGAGATAAATATAATATATGGAGAAGTCAACCCTACCCAATCTCGAAAATTGATGGATAACCCGATAACTTTTCAACTGGGCTGTAATGAGGACGGGGGCCCAATAAATGGAGGTGATAAAAGAAGAAAGAGGTCAAGCCCTTCCCCTAATCCTCCCCCCTAACAAAATGATATAAATTTTTTTCTGTACTGGTCCTGTCTTTGGTGGTGAAAGCATCACACCACCACAGCTTCCAACAAGAAACGTACCAGAACTTAGCAACATAAAAGTTAGCTTGAAATGTACGCCGGGAAAAATACTGCCTTCACTTCAACTTTGAAAAGCTTGGTCCGTCTGTGACAACGAGGCTCTTAAGAGGCCTGTGGTGACATTTGAATTAAAGACGGTGTTCATTTTCTATGAAACCGCTGCATTAGTTCTTCGATCGCCTTACAAATTTAATTTGGACGATTGGAAAGAGATCAATGACTGAAGCAGCTCAAGATTTTTCAATAACCGTGTTATTTAATGCCCCGATCTAATCAGTCTTGTCTTCGACGCAGCTAGTAAACACTTCGGTTCGCAAAGTCCTGAATTTTTTTCTCGATTCTTGAAAATTTCTCGAAACTTCAGACAAAAGAGAGCAAAGCCTCGTGGAAACATCTTTGAATTCCTGTAATTACAATTTAAAGACCAGATGAGCGACATTGAAAGTTGAACTTTTCAAGTCTGGAAGAGACGAAGAAAGAACAGTTTGTTTCTTGATGCCATCGGTGTAGAACCTGTAGAGGTGTATATGATCTGTTCCTAGTAAAGTGGAATTTTATTATATTCTTTTTTTCTCATCGCTTTTCACTGTAAAATCAAGTTGATCATTGAAAGAGCCCTACTCTCCAACAATGAATCGCGGAAAGACGACTGGGTTAGGCAAATCAAAGTATCTGCAGAAAAGACACTTCCGTGACACAGTTGCTACACTAAATGCCCGTCCATGCAGAGGAATGATTCCTTTTTCGGTGGTGGTAATTCACCAGTTCTGTGCTTTAACGGCAAGTCGTGACTTCTAGAATTACAGTGCAGAGGTTTAATAGCTTGAAGCTGCAGTGCCTTACACCCACAGAAGAGTTTAATGAATGCGTTTTTGTATTCCTTATGATAATACCAGTATATTAAAGGATTTACGCACGAATTGAGAAACGCAATTACATTCCACGATTTGTGCAGCGAACTTGTTACATCCGTGATTCCGAAGGGGTACAAAGTGTAACTGACTTGGGCTGGGAGCCAGCTTAGAGTGAAGACTGCGGCTGTCAGTGCGCATAGTTGTAGAACAGTTTTCTGTCCGGCTCGTCTGCCTGCACTTTTCTGCCCAGCAGTAGGAGAGTTTGGTAGTCGAAATTTAATGTGAGCAAAACTCAGCCATGTTATAACACACGGCACTATAAAGTTCGCGAAGCCGTAAATTGCTATTAACGTTTGCGCGCCCTCTTGACCGTAAGGAGCTTCGACAGACACACATTTATTTCCGAGGAGTCTTTTCTCGAACATTTTGTGAATTTGTAGCGCACAGCTTAGTATCCATGACCCCACCACGTAGATGGTACGGCGCCTTCGGCCGAAGTGTGCCATGTACTTTACCGGCTTCAGCACACAGCACCAGCGCTCTATGGCAAGGCACGTGACGAGTAAAATGGACACTTTGGCGATTGTAAACAGGAGATACCTGTTGGCTAATAGTGTGCAGAACATGTGTCCACCAATTCCATAAGGAATCGGAAACAAGGATTGTCTGCTCACGTAGCCTGGTGTTGCAACCAAGGAAAGTGCTGTGGGAGAAGTAAGACATTTGTCAGCTATGTTCGATATTACAATATGCAGGTAATTATTATCTCAGTTCTCCAGCTCCTAATAACTCCACCTATAGCGTAGGTAACTTAGGGTTTCATTGCCCCCCCCCCTCCCAAATAATACTAAAAAAAAACTACCCAGTCTTAGAAAATCACTTTAAAAATTGTACCTAGATGGTATTCCGTTATTATGCCCATTTTATTTTGTTCTTTGCCAGAGCATTTCTAGTAACCAAGCTTAAGTTGTAATTTTGTAATCCTTCTTAAGGTAGGTCGGAGTCCAGGGCGAAACCGTCATAGTTGGGATGAACTTTTGGGGCGCTCTTGCCATGGGTCCAAACTTCTATAAATCCTTTATGTCAATGAGGTCAGTTCCTTGTTGAATTATGAAAGTGTACTCAGTGCCTGCGAAGACTAGCGGCGAATATAGGAGGGGCCCCCTACCTTTCCGTTCCGCGATCAAAATCTAACTGCAGATGCTGTGCCTCAAGAGGAAGCTCCTCCATTTTATTCTATTCTTGCTTTTCTTGAGGTAACTGCTAATAATGTTGCTTATATCTATCCTGTGCCACCAGCCAATTGATGTTTTGCAGTCCTACGTCATTTGGATAGAGAGAGAAACAGACTTATTTTTGCATCATACGAAGCTGAAAGATGCCTCACCTGTGAGCAAATCCGTGATGGCCAAATTAAACAGCAGGAAGTTGTACGGCTTCTGCATCATGGAAGGTTTTTTCAACAGCACAACACAAAACATGAAATTGAGCGCGAAAGCTAAGACAGCGATTATGCTGAAAGTCACCTCCAGAAAAGTTCCTGATTGGCTGGTTTCAATGTACGGTCCTGATTGGTTGGACAGAACATTAGGCTGTGTTGGTGTGCTTCTGTTTTCAAACAACTTCATTGCCAACGCAGTGTATTCTGCCATGCTCACCACTCTGTGAAGTAAGTACAGCAATTTGTATGAGGAAATTATCGCATTTGAAACTTAAACACATCGTACACTTAAAAATTTGGGCCTTTCATTCAGATTAACAATTATGCTAATTTTCCGATATCATCTATTTCAAATTTATTTGTGCAAAATGGTTATATTTAAAACGTTACCTTTCCATCTATATTGAGTTCTTTTTAATGCAATTCTGGGTTATTCGCATTCGAATAATATTTAACGTCATGCCTTGCGGAGAGTTCATCGATTTTTCTGTTTTTGCAGCACTCGGTTTTGAAAAGTTTTCCGCACTAAAATATTCAGTTGAATTCTGATCACCGACTTATTTCATTGTTGTTGACATTTATCCACATGTGTTCAATTCATTTTGTTTGAAAACATAATTTCCTCTTTAATGTTAGAATTGCCTATTTTTAAAATCCTCCTAGAAAAACATCCTTGAATCCGGTGTCGTAATCATGTCAAAGACAATTAGGAAACCGTTTTGGAGCACTTACTTTATCAGAGAAAATGGCATCTTAATTTATAACTTTTTTTTTTTTTTAAGTCGCTGTCAAGTTTACTTTCACTACAGAGCGCATCACCGAAAATGAGCCAACATAAATGGTGTCGTTTTGTTCCGACTCTCCAAACATGTGTATTCTACCACAAGGGGTGTGTTTATTTTTCTTTCACTCCCTTGGTAGTGTAAGTAGATTTTTATGCTTTCAGTTTTACTTCAAGAACAATGTATAGTCGGACCACAGCAGTAGTAAAAGGCACCGTGTTTTGAAAACTAGCTGATATATTACCATCGTGGCTTCAAGTTGGGTTTAATTCCAGTTACTTGCACTTAATGTACATCAGGGCTGTATGAATTTATATCATGTTCGTAGTGGACTAATGATTTGTTTCTTTTGACCATGGACCAAACACTTCGGTATCAGTAATAATGATATACAATTTCTTTAAGAACAAAAACCCTTTCGTACTTTTGATTTAATTAGAGTTTTTTGAGGGGCGACAGTTATTTTCGAGACAGTTTGTAGAATTTCTGAAATGAATAATCTCTTCATGTTCGATATAATGTTCAAGTTTAGCTGTCTTTCACGAAGAGGAGGCAGAAACTAAACATTGAAAGTTAGCCATTCCCTCTGATAGCATCAGTTATCTGATATAGTTTAAGTCTGTAGGTTCTGAATTTGTCATTGTTTGGCTTGAAATTTCGCCGGAAAAGACTCTGCCATGAATAAATTGGTGATTCAATAGAAATTCGAGTTAATCACAAGATGATTAATGAGGAGAACATTTGTGAAACATAGAGATGCCCCCTTAAAAAAAGCTTTGAAAATAGTGCTAATGACTAGCACATGAAGTAACACGAACAATGCAGGCGGAAAATGCCGGTTGAAAACATACAGATTAGATGACAATGTTAAATCCAACGGCTTCTTTCATGGGAAAATCGATTTTATTACATGAATGCATGCATTGTGCAATCTACTCAAACTCAGGTGACGACCAAAATTTCCGATTATTTCGGTCAAATATTGCAAACCGTCACCATTCACAGCTCCGACTTCAATCTTTAACTTTTACACAAGATTAATAAATCTTGTTATTTTTGTTCCTTTTTGCTTCTATGTGTTTGTCCTGTAAATAGTAGAAATTGAATGAAAACGATCCTTGTACAAGCACAATAATTTAAAGCTACCAATTCATGCCTTGGGGATGAAACTTAATGACCTACAGTGAGTTCGTGAGAAATAAAGGCGCTTTGAATTTTCTATTTTACGGGATCCCTTGCTACTCAAGGATCAAAACAACACAGTTAATACATCAACAAAAGAACAAAAAAAAGCTAGTACTGTACTATATTTAGGTCTTAACCCAACATCGTAAAGGTTATGAAATTGCTGTTGCATAATTTATATGACAGGTTTTTCGAGCAGAAACGTCACTTTCACAAAGAACTGAAGTGAAATATACTGACCACTATAGAACGATGTCAGATTACGAAGTTAGTCAGTTTGAATACCTCTACCCCTTTACATCATCCAAAGTGGGAAAAAGCAATTCTATGGGAAAACAGAAAACCGAGTTTGTGTTCCAGTTCAGTTTTATACTTTGATCGATGCCTGATGTGCAAAGCAGTTTGGACTGAGCTACCGGTTTTGGAAAAACTATTAACGGAATATTTAGAGTAGGACATAGTTACCAATCCCGTACTGTAAGTTACGATATTCTAAACGTTTTTTCTTTAAGACGAAAGTGGCTTAATCCTACCCAAATTTAGTACCCAAACTTGACCCTCCGTTGTTTCTTTTACGTGACTTCTTGCTCACTAACAGAAGCACTTTATTGACCAACGTAAAATTTAGGAGACTCAAATGATTTTGCACGATATTCGCTTAAATGGAAGGCGGGAACTCTTGAGTGCTGTTACCTTTCATATGTAGATTTAAAGCGAGTTTATTAGCAGCGAAAAGCCAAGTCAAAAGGACTTAAGTTTTTATCATAGTGGCGTTTTCCGGTGATTGATAACTTTTTGTCCTTTTGCATTAAAAATGTTTATCTTAGAAATAATCCTGTTTTTAAACTTACAGGCACTATTGATTGAATTTTAAGGAAACGAAATAAAGCACTGATGCTAGGGAACAAAAAATAATAATAATGAAAAGTTCATCTAAGAACACTTAGGGCGTGCTTTTATATTAACGACATGGAGGAGAAAACGAGAGAAGGTGAATTTCGTTAGGGTCTTAAAAGAGCAAGATTTTCTTAGTGGAATAGAACTGAGAGGATTTCAACCAGCCTAAACCTTCTTTTGTTTCAGTAAGAACATAAATGCTGTTCTAACACCATTGTAACCAGCTTACTCTCATTAACACGTAAGAAATTGTCTTGAAGCGACTCTTTGGGTGGAACACAAGGGGTATCTTAGCGGAATACTGATTGTTTGAATTACAGTGTCGAAGATTGGATTTTGAGTGACAGATTAAATGACTTTTCCACTGAAATATTGAATTTTTCACGCACCTTTTAAAGTTCTAGCGTGAACGTTTGTGTACTTTGTTACCTTATACTCTTCCTCTCAATCAGGTTAAAAAACGCCTCTAATATCGGATGGCATTTCAATTTGTTAACCAACAGAAATTCAATTTTGTGATGATTCATAAAAGCGCAAACGTGATCTCTAGCTTAGTTATCTCCGTTTTGAGGAGTTCGAGAGTTAACCTCAAATTTTCAAGCTTCGTCTTACTACCTTGTGTAACTCTTTCGTGAGACGATTGAGAGTTTTTTATTTTTAGATTTACCGTAAGTATTATAAAGTCTGAAACGATTTACGCAGTAGAACAACTGAATACGTATCATTCGCAGTAACTTACGTTATTATAGGAAATTAACAACGCACGTTGACAACGCGCAGAAAATTTACGTTACACTAAATAAACGCGAATTTTTCAAAAATTAGGTTTACATGCATTAAATTAACACGAATGTTTTGATAAGCATCTTGCTTTAGTTACTGCGATTTTCATAATTCTGCAAACTGGCACTTTATATTTCTGAACGCCAAAGACAAGTCCACAGATGTTTCTAAGTTTTTGCTAAGGCCGTAAATTTGGTTTTGAAGCTTAACTAGACCGTATCAATTCAAAAGATCTTTCAAAGCCTCCGTGAAATCACTAAGAACTGCTCACTCCTTTGATTGACGGAAAGCAAACCGCAGTTTGTTGCAGTAACACAAACTTCCAGCACTTACAAAATCTCAACATACACATGTCTCATGGAGAAAAAGAAGCATTTACAGTAGTTAGCTTTTAGGAAATAAAGGTGCTTTAAAATAACAATGTTGTAAAATAGCGTGCATTAAATTTACATCGACATTAATCAAGATACATTAAATTAACGCGAATTTTGTAAAATCGCGTTAATAAAGTGCATTATTAATTTCCTATAACAAGGTAAGTTGTTCTGTGACTTGCATACTAAGACTTCTAATGGAAAGCCGAGCGACGGAAACTGCTTATATGCAAACACAATACTCAATGTTGCCCTGAAATATAGTCACGTATTTGTCTTAAAACAAGTAAAAACATATTGATAATTCGTAAACTGAGTTTTTACGTCTAGCATACGTGATCGTAACAGGAACTTCACCAACCAATGTATAAACAAAGACTTAATATAGTTAATTCCGTATGTCACTGAGTTGGTAATTTATACTTTCTTTATCACGGGAACCACAAGTCAACTAACACGTTTCTCTTATTTATTCCTTTGTCATCATGATTATCTGTCTTCGAAAAGAGAGATTATGGACAATGCAGTCTCTTCAGAGCTTATTACTTCCTTGGAAACTGGTAGCTTAGAAACAGATTTTCATAGGAATCAGGGAAGTAAAAAAGAAATTATTAACGCAGAAAAATCTTCCACATATCGGTGAAAAATTTTCATATTGCATTTATAAAGAATAAATTTGATGCTTATAAGTATCTTAAAGTGTTCAGGAAGTTTTAGAAGAAAACTATTGTTTTTCAGTAAACAATCTGCATGTTAACACGACGAAAAAACTTCTTTCTTCTAGTACCAAACATAAATGTCTCCCCTATCACCTGATGAAATCAGTATGGTGAGACCGGCGCATTCGAGAAATCAAGTTATGAGTTTAGCCAAGTATTAAAGCAATTTTCACTTGTGAGTTAAATTAAAACCAGGACTGCACTGTTTTTGCTTGACTTTAACTTGTAATTAGTCATAGAAAAGTCGCGATACGCTCTCAACCAATCAGATGCAGGGCTAAAACCAACCGCAGCTTTTTCAGTTGGCTTTTCCCGCGCCTCGGGTAGATTACACGTTTGTGATCTGTGTTTGGTTAACCTTGGTCTTACGACACGTTGTCCCTAAGCACTTCTAAGTTTAGCAGTTCGTAACACTTCAGGCTATTGAATTTTTCATATCTATTTACACTAGCTAGGCTGTGCGATCTTGAAGAAAAATCTAGAAACTGAGTACTGTCTGTCTGTTAACGAATACCCTGAAGCGCTGTTTTTGTTTTCTTTCAAGACGTATCGTCATCGACCGACGTTGTTCAAGATAGTTTCAGTTTTGCAGTAAGAAAGTATACTTGGAAGTGCTTGCATCATAGCTTTAGAAGGAAAAAAAGGTATGTGGGTTATCTTTGGTTTAGATATATCAACAAAGTTGAAATGGTAAATTGGCCACCGTAACGTTTACAAAAGCTGACGTTTCGAGCGTTAGCCCTTCGCTCCGACGAAGGGCTAACGCTCGAAATGTCAGCTTTTGTAATCGTTACGGTGGCCAATTTACCATTTCAACTTTGTTGATATATCCAAATTATTTCGTTACTCCCACCGACGCAGCCCCAAACAGTTTCTTTCGAAACTATCAGCCTTTATCTTTGGTTTAGTTTCGTTCATTCAAAATCATTGCGTTGTGTGTTTTCTCTTTGATGATATCATCCGCAAAAATTTCAAGAGAAGTATAATTCTGAAACCATACGTACATGAAGTATATCTCTGCACCATAACTTGTAAATTAAAGTTTATATAACACTTACTACGGTTTTGGGTAAAACAACCTTTCAAATAGAATCGCACACGTTTTGAACATTTTCGTGCAACAAAACATTCTTTTCCTAAATATGCTGGATCTGGCCGCGAGGCTCTGTCCTTAGGTAACACGGAGAGGAAAGCAAAATTATGCAATAAATTATAATTTTTAAGGCATAAAATCTTTAAAGGACTCAGGGCACTAACTGTTGTCTTGGTTTCATTGCCCATTAAGAGTCTTGTTTAGTACAACATATTTCTACTTCGAGAGATCTATCCTCGCCTAATGGTCGGTTATAAGGATAAATAGGGCTATTAATGTTTAATATCACCTCTTTATCAGTCGAGTTGCAAAAGTGGTTGAGTTTCTTTCCTGCTAAGCAGGTTGTAAATCTTCGGTGCCACTATTCCGCTGTAGTTATTATTTAGTATTTTTTTAAGATATTCAAATACAGTGTTTAAGGTGCAAATTTGAACATGAATAAGTAGAATGTTTGTTGAATATTTCCTTCTATCGTGACATTGGTGTTTTCACAGAATTGTTTAGCTTTTGTGCAAAGCCCAAGGGTAAACAAAAACGAAATTTCCTCATTTGACAGTACAAACTCAGCAGACCTTTTGTGTTTCTATCGGCATTTGCATTTTGTTCCAAATCCACAATTTGGCTCTCCAAAGAGTAATAAATCAGTTACGGTATCAGAAAAGAAAAGATTTGCTCTTGGCGCAAGCAGGTGACTGCAAAGAGTAAGTGAGGCGGAAGAATTATTTCCATGACTGTTGACATCACTCAGTTTTATTAGTTAAGGTTAGCTGAGTTGCCTTATTGATCCTGATTTGAACATTTGAAAGTTTTCCTGCGATACGAAGATTGAAGAAATCACAACGCAGTTGGCGTAAAGTAGGGTTTCGGTAATGTCATAACTGTCGCTTGAGCGTAAATGAAGATACAGTAGGACACACTAACAAACGGAAACAAATTACGACATGAAATAAATGTCGATTAAGAAATCGCCTTACAAGAATCTTAAAGACCACAGAGACACGAACCGCTGCATACAAAGAAAGTTGTGGTGTATCAGTTAGGTCGGGATGAGGAATAACTGGTTCATTTGCTACACTGAATGTAGATCTAATATACTATGTTTCCTTTTGATCTTTCTTTCGTTCTATTTTTTATCAATCGAAAATAAAATTGTACGAAGGAAGAAAAATGGCTACGTGAACATAAAAGATTTCGCAAAATTTGGCTTTGTAATAGGAAATGAGAAATATTATTTACACAGTAATGACAAATATGCCTATTTATGTTCATTAGGAAGGCGACGTCGTTAACGTTAACGTCAATACTAACTGATCAAAACCCACTCCCGTGTATTTAATTTAATTGTTCCTCTCTATAATCACATGCAAAAATCAGCAAGAAACGAAGAAGTCACGAAGTATCCTCATATTTCAGTTTTTGAGAAACAAAACCTATAATATCAATTGGAGGCGTTCAATTGATGACTACAGGTAGACTAAACTTTTTTTCATCTCCATTTTGTTTTTCTTTGTACTTTTGGTTTTTGCTTCCTACAAGAAAGTCATGGACTTTCCTAATCTTTTAGTTTGCGCTGGGTGTTTTTAAAACAAAGTCTGTAACAGAAATTAAAAGAGTTGATTCGACGGCTACAAATGAGCTAAACTTTCGTTTTTCTTTTGTAATCTTTATCTTGTTTTTCTATTTTCTTTCGGATTTTTTGCTGCGTTCGAAATTAGCATTAGTAAAGCCGGGTAAATACGAAGCTGTTCTTCTCAATGCAACACCTAGTGACATACGACATTCTCTTAATAGGAAAAAAAAATTGATTCGAACATTCAAGAGTATATTTTAATATTTCAATAATTTATTCTTTGTCATCTCTGGGCTACTTGTAATGTTTCTTATTTGAATTCAGTAACCTCCATGTATAACCATTGAAATTAAGACCTTAATTTCCAAAGAATTTTACATGCTGCAAATATCATTCTAGAGTTACTTTATTTCACCTTAGACCCCAGAAATGGACACGCGCATAGGTGATAGACACATTATACCATCGGTTACTTTATTTCATCTTAGACCCCAGAAATGGACATGCGCATAGGGGATGTAAGTAATTATGGACTTTTGCTCGCCTTTTGATTTTGGAACAGGACTTGTCGTCTCATGGGTCACGTACAGTCCAAGAAAGTAGGTAACGTGAATGTTAAAGTGGGCAATTTCTCAGATTTATACGGTTTTGTTTCGATCAAATGTAATTGGGTGTATTCAATCGATCAACAAAAAGTCAAATATAACTAAAGCAAAACACGAGTATAGTGACGATCAATTTGCGTTCAGTTTTCATGACAAGAAAAATGACCGCGTCAGAATAAGGAAAAACGCACAGACTATTAGCCTGGAACTATGTAAGAAAGAGAGACAATGGAATTTTACTAATAAGTAAGAAACTAACGAGATTGGTTCTGGTTGAAGCAAAGTTTGACACGGATTTCAATTAAACAACTATGAAAAATTAGCTGAAATACTTCAAAGTTGATCAAACAGCCTGATTTGCATCTTAAGTGCCACCTACAATGGGCCTAAGATTTTTTCATCTCATCAAGAGGGTTACGGTGTTTTACCGGAGTCATAAACTGAAGAGTTTAATTCTGTCACAATGATATTCATGTAATTAATGATAGATGGCCCTTTTAATATGTTTTTGATGTTAATATAGACGGATGTCGCAACTTGATTTCCTTTAGCTGCCTGTTATTTTTCGTCTTTAGACACAGCATTTTGTCCGTCGATTGTATAGGTCCATGTGAAGTGTCTTTAATTTCCTCGGCGGTATTATTCTGAATCCATAGATGAAAACTATTTGTGCAAACACTCATTTAACAGAAAGCATTATTGCATTATACGTTAGATAACGATGTTTGTTCGAAATAACGAGGCCGTGGACGAAGTTGAGATTACCGGCGTTGGCAAAGAGGGAAGAAATATAAGGTAACAACAGCAGGCTGTGACTTTAGCATACAATTTACGGTTTTTTATAGCGTCTTTTATTTTACTGTTTTTTTCTTTTTTTTTTAGTGCAGAATATGATTTGAGAAATCATTTGAAGTTGTGAACTATATATAACAGTTTAGGCGTACAACAGAGTTCGAATTGGATAAAATAGATTCAATCAGTTGGTGCTATTTAGTTTTCATAAGTAGATTGAACGATCTCCCGACAAACTCTAAGATCAAGCAAATTTATTGTTTTTAACCTATTCGGGCAATCATCTAAGATTCGGTTCGGCCATATCTTAACTTCTATTGCCGATGTTTGTTGAATTTTGATCATTTTAGATTTTTTTTTTCTTTTCTCATTTTTTCTAGCGAACAGCAATGTAATAGGTTGAGTCATATTCACTCTGAAATTGTATTTTACTAACGAACCTTCCACCTTTAATGACATTTTAATCCGCTTGTAGATTTTTTTTCTTATTTCGATTTCTAAGGGACAAATGGAATATTTAGAACGTTATTTAATAATATTGTAAATCTTAGAATTACAACAATATTTTATTTTCCTAATATTACCACGAAGGCTTAATTACACTTTTGATACGTATTTCCTTCCATTAAACTTCCCATTTACTTGATTTCCAATTCCTTTTAGCATTTTTGTCATCATTATGTTTTTTTGTACACTTGCCTTCTAATTTCTCTTTCATAATTCGAAACTCATCTATTTTCCTTAAATAGCATTAGACCCAAAAAGTCAGGGGATTATGCCGTCTTGTTGGCTTTAAATTCATTTTATGTTGTCAAAAATATCAACGTTCTTGCTGTCATCGTTTTCAACTACCTATGACACGTTATGTTAAATTCATGATAGGCGACAGCTAAGATGTGTCATTGCGTTCGTTAGCCTGGTGTTTCACACCTTTCAATCAAAGGCTAGATTTTCAGAGCGAATAATTCATTTTCCGATCTGTTTTTGAAATTCTAACCTTTTAGGTGACGGTGGTGCAATTGGAAATCTAGCCGTGTCCGCTTACTGATTACAAAGCACTGAGCAAGGTAACCGCTAAAAGAGAATAGTTTTTAGGCTGGTCACAAGCACATCGGGGCAGATTTGGCTCAAAAAAGTGATCTTGTTGAGAACGTAATTGCAATTTATGATTAACGGTACTCTCTGCTATGTGGCTTTAAATTTACGCGTAAAGTGCAGGAAGAAAAATTTTATATTCAATTTTAATAATCTGTTGAGCAATTTGTTTGGAGAAAGTCTTATTAATTCTTTGTATTGCTTTCGTTCCTCCTGTCTACAGTGGAGAAATTTCAAGTGGACAAACTCGATGCAGCTCAATCTGGAAAAAAAACTTTGTCTTTAGAATTGACGTCTACATTCAAATTTAGATTCGTTATCATTTTTTTTTAAATTTAGCTTTCAGTTAATGAAACTTGAATCTCTTTTTTTTTTTTTTCAACCATAACTCAAGTCATACGACGGATTATATCTTCAACTTTTTCTTCGTTCAAAGAAAGAAGCCAAGAACAACCGCGGGACATTATTAGCCAAATGTAATCAGAGATTATTTTAATTTCGATGCTTCCTCAGTTTGGTGCTCTTTTTTATGACATGCAACAGAAAAGGGTTTTATGGCGGAACTTGTCCCACATCTTTTTAATAGCGAAGAAACCATGACAGACGTTACTAACAGTTACAATGTATATATGAAGCTCATATTTTTAACTGCGGTATTTGACACGTATGATGCACGATCCTCGCAGTAGAGAACGCTATTTATGCAATAGCGAAAATCTGACCTGAAAAAAATCAGGCCTGTACGGGACTCGAACCACTGACCTCTGCAATAGTAGTGCAGCGCTCTACCAATTGAGCTAACAAGCCAACTGGGAGCAGGCCGTTAAGTTGATTCGTAATAAACCCGTGATGATAAATCAGATACAATGTATATATGAAGTTCATATATTTTGAACTGCGGTATTAGATACGTATGATGTACGATCCTTCGCAGTAGATAGCGCTATGTATGCAATAGCGAAAATCACTAATTACTAACAGTGTCACGTTGAGTGAATTAAAGAAATACATATCGTATATTCACTGGCTTTTTTTCTCGCAGCTGACGCAGTATGGAGAACACCACGTCAAAGCCTCTATCAAGCATGGACCAAGCCTTTTGCGTAACATTTTGGGTGATCGCCGTTGTTTCATTTGTTCTAAACTTGTTGTTCGCCGTTGTACTTGCGAGGAAACCTTCCATGCTAAAAAGGCCTCATAATATTCTACTGTTCAGTTTGGCCGTTGTTGATATGCTAACTGGTGAGTTTACGGCAATTCTCTTGTCTTTAGCGGTTATGGTTCTCTAAACAATCTTTATGCAACATTTTTGGAGAGATCACTCTTTGTGATTACTTTGGTTTTAATTTTAAGTCTGTAAGCCAACAATTAAATTACTTTTATATATTTTAACTAAGAGGTCGTGTGCTATTTATCTCTTTCAGGTGTCTTTCTCGTAGCTACTCCCGGGTATGCCATCCCCACATCGAAATACCCAGTCCCTCTTGGATTACGCGGTCAGATTTTTTGCCGCCTGCTCGCCAACAGATATCTCCTGTTTGCATTGGGAAAAGTTTCCATCCTCCTCGTGGCCTGCCTCGCCTTTGAACGATGGTATTGTGTGTTAAGGCCATTCAAATACAAGCATCAATTTAAAAGAAAGCGTACCATCGTTTATGTTTTCATCGCGTTTATGATCACTTGCATTCTATCCATGAATAAGTTGTTCGAAACGAGCTTAGATGGTAGCAAGTGTGTCACTGATAAAGCTCCGTTTGGAATTGACGGTACTCGGGCGTTTGTCATCGTCTACAGTTTTGTGGCATTTTACATACCCTGTTTGTTAACATGGCTCACATTTGGCCATATTAAGCTAAATCTCCCCTCATCCCCTGGGGAAAGCGCTGAGAACGTAAACAAACGAAGGCGAATGGACATGTTACTGCGCATGTGCGCTGTAACCGCAGCAGCCATGACAGTGTGTGGTTTTCCTTCGCAGACCAATTACATTCTAAGCTTTTTTGGCCTTACAGAAGTTAAAAGCCCGCTGCATAAGGCGTTTAATGTTCTGGTGTTTGTTAATTCATGCATGAATCCGTTGATATACTGCCTTACCAACAAGGATTACAGGAGAGAGTTCAAAAAGCTTCTTGGATGCCACAGAGGTAACGAAATATCTCCAGAAACCGACCACGGCACCACTCTGGCCTGAGTTCAAGCGGTTTTTTTTTCCGTTTCTTTCATGGCAGAGAGAGAAAAACTTACTTTAACGTCCTCCTCCCGTGTGAGGCAGATACGGAAAGGGAGAGGTCATATTCTTAGACAAGAGACAGCTCACGTTCCCTTGTCCGGGCTAGCTCCACTCATTTTCAAGCTACAGCACCTGCCACGTACTCTTGTAAAGATTTTTATCTTGCAGTAAGTCCATAAAAAAAAAAAAAACAGTTCGCCAGCTTATCCGCAAAGCAACGGAAAGGTAGAAGCGGCTGTTAACTCAGCTAAAAATGTTATGAGGAAGTCAAGAAAAGCCAGAACAGACCCATATCTCGCTCTCTTAGAATACAGAAACATGCCCAGTCAAGGATTGGGCACCAGTCCAGTGCAGCGGTTGATGTCAAAGCGCACAGGAGCACAACTACCCATCATTCCTAAGCTTCTCAGGCCAGTTGTCCAGCCCAAGATCCATCAGAAGCTTCTCGCCAAGAAAGAACGACAAGTCCTTGCTTACAATAGTAAGTTCAAAACCTGCTTTAGTGGCTGAAGAAGGCGTTGAGCAATCGGATCAACAGTGGATATCCTTACCCGAACACGCACAGACCGGTCATGAGCTCTCCGCGCCGTGTTTGTGGACAACCGGTGGTCAAGTAGATGCGACCATGGAGCATGCAATGGCATTTCGGCAACCGGAGCCACTTGTTCAGCCTAGTGGGTTACCTGTGCAAGGCCCAACAACGCGATCAGGCAGAGTTGTTAAGAAGCCAGCTTATTTAAGGGATTATGTTACAGGGATGTAACCAGCGTCGAAGCTTTCTACGCTTCACAAACTTTGAACAGTTGAACTCACTTACATTGTCTGTTAGTTTGTTATTTGTTTATCCTGTTTCTCTTTATTTTATTTTATTTTTTATTTTATTTTATAAGGGAAAGGATGTAACAATAGGCATTGTTTAGTAGTAACCTCCTTTGAGTGTTCAAACTTAAGGGACGGACGTTTGTAATAACGAGGCAGTTGGTGTAACACTTGATGGGAGACATTACAATCAAGATATCATCATGAATGGTTAATACACCCGTCAGGCCGTCAAGTGCGTGGTTAAGCCTTCGTTGGAACTCCTCGGGGGCCGAACAAAGACCAAAGGGTAGGCGACGCCAGCAAAATCTTCCAAAGGGAGAATTGAACGTTGTTAAGCGTGAACTGTCATCGTCAAGTTCAATGTGCCAGAAACCGTTCTTTGCGTCCACAGTGTAGAACACTTTAGCCCTGGTAAGCTCAGGTAGAATATCTTCAACTGTCGGGGTTGGGTAGTGGCTCCTCCTAAGGACTTTGTTGAGGTCCTTAGTGTCCAGGCAAACACGAATCTGTCCATTAGGTTTTTGCACGATAACGAGGCTCGGAACCGAACCGGTAGGCTCTATGACTTTTTCTATGATATCAAGACTCTGCAACCGTTCCAACTCTCGTTTCAGTGCTCCCTTGAGCGCGACAGGTACTCTTCTGGGAGGATGGACCACTGGCTTAGCATTTTCTTCAATTTCCATCTTGTACCGCCCCTTCAATTTTCCAGTGCCTTGAAACACATCTGGGTACTCCTTTTTAAACTTCTTCCATAGAAAGGGGGCGCTGATTATAGCGCTTAACCCCAGTGTTGACGGTCATAACAGTTTGGTGTTGCACCCTGACCAAATCCATCTGCTACATCGTTGATTTCCTAAAATCGGTGTTGACTGATCATCGTCCACAACAACAAATTCGATCTGATACGTTTTGGAATTCTTGGGGTTAGATACTGCTACAGCACACGTTCCAAGAGGTTTCATAATTGTGTTGTTGTACATCGTGAGTAATTTCCGCATGGGAAACAGTTGGACTTCAGTTCTAAGGAACTTTGCGGGAATCAAATTGCATGTCGCGCCACTATCCAGTTGAAACTTAACTGGTGTGTTTCCGAAGTTAATTGTAGCAAACAATTTTATAGCATATTCCAGATCGCTTGCTACATGAACCCTAACTACTTAACTTTCATCCACCGAGTGGAGCGTGAGGCAGTATTCGTAGAGCTCGCTTTCACTTTCTGATTCGACGACGTTCGCTCTCGTTTTAGAAAGGCATTGAGAACTGAAATGATTCATTCTTCCGCAAGCCGAACACCTCTTCCCGAATGCTGGGCAACTTTTCTTGGCAGCCCGATGTTTTCCACCACAAAATTTTCATCTTAGTACTTCTTTAGGACTGGAATCTCTCGTGTTCCGATCGTCATTTTCGCGCCTCTTGCTAGCAGACTTGTCATGGCTTTTGTTAGCTGACACCTTGCTGCGCTTCGTTTGGTCCTTTAATGAGTTTACTGCTTCGCCCTCTTCCAAAGTTTTAGTACGCGTTTTCGACATCTCGGCTGCTCTACAAATGCTGAGGCATCTTTGTAAATCAAGATCTGGGATCTTAAGCAGTTCTTCTCGATCGAAGCTGCCGGTCCTGGATTCCACAAATGATCAGATCTCTCACCAACGAATCTTTAAGATCACCCAAGTTACACGTCGTCGCCAACAGCTTCAAATCTGTAACGAACTTTTCTTGTGATTCACCCGGGTCCTGAGTGCGGAGAAAACCTTGAACCGTTCCACACTTTCATTCTTTCTGGGATTACAATGCCCGTCGAACGCTTCTAACACCTGCGTTAAGGTTCTTTCCGACGCGAGAATTTCGAAGGCCATCGTGTCATAAATTTCTCTTCCTTGACTGCCGATTGAATACAGAAATAACTTTACTTTCGTCGCTTCGCCTCTGCCGTTCATTGTCAGATCCATCTTTTCCAACTGTCAGCCAAGTTTGTCGCATCAAAGTCTAGCTGAGCTGGAGGTTTAAGCTGTGCAATCCTGTCAGTCGCTCCCGCATTTGCACTTGCCTGTTGTCCGTCCGTCTGCATTGTAGGTTTCTATCGAACAGTTTCGGTCTATTCCGCTCTCACTCCTTACACCATGTTTATTTACGAAAGAATCGTTTTAATGTGTCCCATCAAGTGTTACACCATCTGCCTCGCTATTACAAACGTCCGTCCCTTAAGTTCGAACACTCAAACGAGGCTACTACTAAACAAAATGCATTGCACAATGCATATTGTTACACTGACTTTCCACGCTGTAGAGGTAAAAAAAAAATAATAAATTTCTCCAAAAATTTTGCCTTTTTTTCCTGTCCCAGAGTGGATATACTGACTCGATAATCCTGCGTCCAAATAAAGCAAGTTGTTTGGTAATTTATGTCAATATGATAAAATGTATGTATGGATATAACCTGTGGTAACAGGTGTTACCTGTAAATCTTTTCAGACAAAACCACTGATCATTGGTCGCAATTGACTTTTAGGTATCGTGGGTAAACCAAATAGACCTCTTTTCTTAAATTTTTTTTAGATATTAACTCTTTCAGACTTGTGGATACAATTTCGGAACTTAATCTAAGAGATAATGGACAACACATTTTTGATCAATCAGCGGAAATATCTCGATGCTGATCTGGCCAGCATGTTCTGACCATGTTTTAGTCAGTCCCAATAAATGACAATGATGATAAAGATAAAAAACAAAAAAATATCTGGCCCATGCAAAATGAGCTATTAACACTACTAAGTTTACCAATATTGTAACTACACATAAACATTGAAACAAAGAACACACAGTGTAAGGTCAAATTAAACTTCAGTTCTCTTTTTGTACGAGATTTCCTCTCTTTTGTGTCAGCTAGTTACCAGTTCTTGTAAAGGAGTTCATAAGGGCTGAAGAGATCTGTAAAATGGCAAGCTTGCAGTTTTAGTACGATCAAGAGAGGATGGTCTCTTGGTAAAGTGCATCTAAAGAGTACTGTTGCACGAATTGCAAAATTAACTCTCAAAGGTCACAGTTATATTTTAAGAATTCTTATCAATCATGAGTCAAAATAATTGTCTTTTTGATTCATCGACTTCGCCTGTTCCATCACGGACTCTTACTTTCATATGGAACACTCTTGTCCGATTTCGGACTTTCCCCTCTCATTTCTCTGATTTTGGACGCCTCCGTCCAGTTTCGGACACCCATGTCGATTAAAGCCTCCTTAGTCTCATTTTGGACTGTTCCATCGGATTTCGAAGGGATAGCTCAGTTGAGGTAGTTCTAACCAAACAAAGGTCATAAAACTTCTTTCTTTTCAAATTTTGTTTCATGCCTCAATATATTGTATTCAATTTCGGATTTTGATAGAAGACTAGAGCGTGGATACGGAAATATGAATTACCTTGCGTCTGTCTTACTAATCCCGAATCCCGTTTCCTGACACCCGACACCCGACACAATGAACCGATTGCAGACGTATTCGTCCGATTTTGAGCATATCTCCGTCCTCCTGATTTCGATTAAATAAGTTCCAAGTTGTTTCAACGGGGACATGTTTTAACCACGCGCAAGTTATGATAAATATTTGGTTCCCTCACTAAAGTTTGGCATTGAAATAATTTTGTTCTTGAAAACTTGGCTACTGCTGATTCATCCTAGACTTAAGAAATAACGAGGAAGGATAACAAACAACGCTGCTTTGGAAAAGAGTCTTCAGTGATCTTGTCCAAATGGGGGAGGGAAACCTGCACAATCAGTATTGATGACGAAATCCGGAATGTGACTGCTGAAATAAAAGCAGAAGCATGCGAAGCATTCAAGAGCTGAGTTTGTTTCTAGGATTTGTGGGTTCGATTGGGACACTTTAGTGTAAATGATGTTTTTTTTTTCCTTATGACAAAAAGCATTGACCCTCAAAACATCCCACCAGAAAATCAAATTTACTTTAAAAAATAGCAAAAGCGGAAACCCTTCCAGTTATCTGAAGTAACCCCAATTGTCTTTGTCATGTGATCAATTATAAGCGGAAATAAACTACTCGGTGCGATGCTAACGGCCGGTGACAAAATCGAAGTTATTCCATTAACGCTTTTTGCCTCAAAAGTACTATTCCATAGAATTTATATTTACCGCGGAAAGTACAACCAAAGTTCGATTCTATCACCCATAAATCAAAACCAAAGGTATTTTGCGGTCTTTATTCTTCGAGTAAGTGAAAATTATTTTGTTGAACCGGAGCAAAGGATCACACTTCATAGGCTTTGATCCTTTTCCATACAAAATGATTAAATAATGAAGTGTTTAGAATCAAGATATTTTTCCGAGTTATTATAGGTATGGAAAACTACACTGATTTGATTCAGTGTGATAGATCTTGTCTTCTTCTGCAGTTTTTTCTCTCTTCAAACATCCGAGATTGTGTTACATGAGCTTAACTGATCTGATTTCCGGTTAACTTCAGGTCACGTCCGCAATATCCGGTCTAGCAAGTTTTGCTGCTTGGTAACCTGCCTTCTGATTTTCTGCGCTCTGATTGGCTGAGCCAGCTAAAACCGCCGTGAAACATGTTTGTGTTGTGTACAAGAAATAAAATTTTTCCAAGCGAGTTGGAAATACCGGCCTAACAGCATTTGGCAAGTATCCTCGTTGTAGTTCACTCGTTATATTTTTTTTTAAGTCCGGGAGGGATTTTTCCTGTTTTCTAACGGAAATATGAGATTTACAATCCTAGAACCCGATGGAAAGGCACACGACTTCGTTCTGACAGGCGACAAACTGGGACAAGAGGCATTGGACAAGGTACGAAGCACTAGAAACGCTGAACTTGCAAATGTACTTTGACGTCAAATTTTCTCCGTGAAACGTAATATTTATTATTCACTGACACCTTGAACTGCCTCTTTTAGGTCTGTGAGAAGCTTGGAATAAAGGAGAAATATTATTTTGGTCTTCGACACTCTGTGAATGATTTTGGCGTTTGGTTGAATCTTAGAAATCCAGTGTCAACTCAGCTTCGCCCTCATTTACCTGGAAAACCTCATCGGCTCCGCCTTGAGGTTAAATTTTTCGTAGCACCACAAGAACTTCAACAGGAGGAAACGAGGTGAGTTAATTGAGCTTCTGGTCTATGCGAGTTTGAATCGCTGCACGTTTTTTCAGTTTTGAAACGAATATGCTGGGTTTACACTGAGAGTGTCGAGACAGCTTGTCACTGCATTGCACGGAGGACCGTTATCTCGAAATTTTGTGTTCATGCGATTCTTTCATTTTTATGAGTGATCAGTTCATAAAAATAAACTGAAAGTACGGTTTTGTGGCTTCTAGGCGACAGTTTTACCTCTGTCTTAAGAGGCAAATGGCCGACGGAAAATTTAATTTGACTCAGGACAACGCTGTTCAGCTTTGTGCTCTTATGGCCCAGGTTGAGTATGGAGATTACTCAAACACGCCCAGAATCTGCCCTCAGTTTCTTTCACCTTGGGGCCGAGAAGATATGGACGCAAAAATAGCTGAGGCACATCAAAAGCTACAAGGGATGTCATCATCAGTTGCAAGAGATGCATTTCTCAATGTCATGGCTAAGGAAGAGCTTTACGATGCAGAAAATTTCAAAGCCAAAACAGGCAAGCAAAAAGTTATGGTTGCAGTTGGAAGCAGTGGCTTGAAAGTATACGAGAGAAGAACCCACGGAAAGCTCAAGCAAAGGTAATTTTATTTTTCATGAATTTCAGCTTTTTGTAATTTGTGGGTCAACATTTAATCGTTAAAACGTATGGTCCCGCGGGACTAAATTTGCCTCTTGCTTCTTCTATGGTAACATCCTTAAGCTATCAACAAAAGCAGCGGTTAAGAAACCGAAGATCAAATGTAAAACACATTTTGCAATCTTTTTATTAGAATACGTTGTTTAGACAGGAACCACAGTGAGTAATATTGGAGGGACCTTTGTTGTTTGAACTCGAATAAATATTTGCACCTATGTGGTTGGTATATTATATCTGATCATCTTTGGTCATTAAAGTTAGTGCTCAGTTTACCTTTTGTTTAAAGCTTTATCTTTTCTTTGGTGGTTCTCTTGAATGATGTAGATTTCAGGGAGATTTTAGACTGCGCTTGTTTTGATTAGTAATTATGGTATTCGAAATCATTATTTTTTAAAAAAAAGTAAAGGATGTTCCTTATCCTTAAGCTTTGTAGTTTTTTCAGGTTTTTTTTCAAGCCTGTGGGTATGTTATTATCAAGTAGCCAAGGTGAATTAGTGAAAAGTTGCTTGCTATCTTTGATAGATATAAAATTTTTCTTCATTTTGTAAACTTGTTTTTAAACAAGGGCTGTCAATAAGTTTTAAAACAGAAGGTAAATTTAAAGTAGGAGGCCATAAGGTTATTGTGGACAACATGATGTTCCCTCGCAACACATGCAAGATTGGGAACTAGTCAATTAAAATGTCCCAGACTTATCAAACAGTTGGCATGAAACTTTGCATAAATTCCGAGCATGGATTTTAGTCACACATTCAAGCCAGTCACTGGTAAATTGTACAATGACTTTCCTTGAAAACTGATGAATGGCTGCAATGGAGGAGGGGGGGGGGGGCAGTTGTTATATCAATCATAAGAAGGGCAGATGATTGATAACTGTGCAATTTTTCACCAGCAATTTTGTTGACAAAGGAAGTAAAAGCACAGGCAGCCCAAGCTGTCTTTGAGAACCACACAAGGAACACAATTTGCATTTCGATTTATAAGGATTTGTATGGGATTTTCTACAAGATAGCCATAGAGATGGTTAAAAGTGAAAGTATTAAATATTAATGGCTTACCTTATTCCATATGTGTATTGCTTGCTCCTGGTGGTGTTATTTTACCAATTTCACTTGATTTAATCTATTTTTTTTAATCCTGGTTTTCTCTTCTTAAAAAGAGAAGACAAGGCGGAACACTTCTGTCCAGACAGCCTCCCGATCGAAGTAAAAAATCCCAAGCTAAAATGTACCCACGGCCACAAATCCACTGCAGCATTCAAGGGCAAAGGTTGACCTTTCATTTCGATTCTCTAGCCACACAATCTCAGCCCTGTGATCGATGCCAGGCAGCTCTTCGTGTCCTCAGTGAAATGTAAAACATTTGTAGACATCTGAGTCCTTTTTAAACACGACACAATGACCATTGAAATTGGCTTGGTAGCCTCGTCATGTTGGCAAACCAAGACTTGCGGGGTACTAAACCTGAAGGGACCCCGGGTTTTTACAAGAAGTTTTGTTGACAAGTTGAGGTCTAGTACCCCCGTGAGTCTTGGTTTGCCAACATGACGAGGTTACCAAGCCAATTTCAACGGTCGTTGTGTCGTGTTTAAAAAGGACTCGGATGTCTACAAACGTTTTAACGTTTCACTGAGGACACGAAGAGCCGCCTGGCATTGATCACAGGGCTGAGATTGTGTGGCTAGTGAATCGAAATGAAAGGTCAACCTTTGCCCTTAAATTCTGCGGTGGATTTGTGGCCGTGGGTACATTTTAGCTTGGGATTTTTTACTTCATTCGGGAGGCTGTCTGGACAGAAGTGTTCGGCCTTGTCTTCTCTTTAAGAAGAGAAAACTAGGATTAAAAAAACCGATTAAATCAATTGAAATCGGTAGAATAATGACACCAGGAGCAAGCAACACATGTATGGAATAAGGTAAGCCATTTTATTTAATATTTTCACTTTTAACTATCTCTATGGCTATCTTGTAGAAAATCCCATACAAATCCTTATAAATCGATAAGCAAATTATGTTCCTTGTGTGGTTCTCAAAGAGAGCTTGGTCGGCCTGTGGTAATAGTAGCAATTAAATACAGCAGGTCAGGGGGATAGCTTTGACTTGCTAAGGGCTATTTTTATTGACAGCCCTGTGAATCAATTTTAGGCATAACCTTATTCTTATCGATCAGAGGATGATTACTATCACATTTTGGGAAAGAGGGGTGGCGGTGGTTGTCATATCAATCATAAAAAGGGTAGAGGTGCTGAAAAGCTTCACTTTGGATAGCAAAGGGCCCCCCTTTTTCCTTACTATGTGGATCCTCTGTTGATCGCTCGCAGGGTCTTTATAGATGGAATCAAGTGGCTTTGAAAATGTCCAGAGGGCTCCTCTGGACATTGTTAATTCTCTCTCAGATGCAACTTGGCTTGTCCTGCATGTCCATTGTTTCTCAGTAGTTTGTGCACACTTGTCTCGGTTTTTTTATTGAGCTATTGAAGCCGAGTACTGCTTACAAGTTAGTAACTGTTATTTTATAATCAACTTATTGCGTTGTCAATGTTTGGTTGGTAAATCAAGCGTCATGCTGCTGTACTTATCCCATTTTGTAATTTGTATTGACTCTGGATTTTTGAACTTGATTGCAGCATTGGGTTTGAAAGCATAATGAAGATGAATGTGTCTGAAGAGCGACTGATTGTTGTGTTGAAGAAAATGTCAGAAAACAGCAAGTTGAATTTCATCCACTTCTTCTTGTCCAGCAGTGATGCTGCAAAAGCAATGCACAAGGCTGCTATGGAGCACCAACTATTCTTCTACTCCAGTAAAGTGCGACAGTCAGTTCTCAATCATTATTTGCTTTCCACCCCATGTTGGGCTTTGCCAGCTAAGTGGTTCACCAAGGTACCATCAGGTGAGCTTTTTCACTTGGATGTGAAACATACAAGGCGTCAGGCTTACGACCTTCACTATGAAAATGTTCATGAGGACAGTGACTCTGTGTTTAGACATGACTGGGTATCAAAGTGCTCCAAGTGTATCTCTGAAGAAGCCAATGCACTCTTCACACCATGCGGGCATCTTGTTTACTGCAGTGACTGTGCAAAGACCGGATCATCTTGCCCTGTGTGCAATACTGCTGTTACCAGCTGGCAAAGGGTTTATTTCTCCAATGATTCAGAGTGTGATGATTGGACTTGCCAGATTTGTATGGACTCTGAAATCAACACTGCATTTTCTCCATGTGGACATGTATGTGCATGCGAGAAATGTTCACGCCATCTTCCCTACTGCCCAATGTGCAAGACATTTACCACCTTTGTTCAGAGAATTCACGTTCAGTTCCCTGAACAACCTGGTGAAAGTGGTGATGATGATGCTGATGTCTATAATTCTTAAGTATGGTTGTTCACCGAGAACTTGACTTGACTATTAGTTTATGTTATGTGTTTCTGGGATTTTGTGAATTACAAACTGTTTTGAATAGTTCTGTTTATCCACACTTGCCATCTTAAGCAATTGTGGATTTTAATGATTGATTGGAATTGTCAGTGATCAATAGAAATAAGTGTGTAATGATTATCCTGTGGTGCACAGTGTGACAGTTAGTTATTGTTGTTTGTTAGTTTTTTTGTTTTTTTTTTTTATATGATGATCTCTACATATGAGATCACTTGATTAATTTATGAGACTGTAAATCTGAGCTAATGCATCATATTTTGTTTGTTAGTAATATGTAAATGTGAATCAGCCCTACAAGTGATAATGAAAAAATTATTGTAATTGTGAAGTTGTCAAGCTCGCATCTGTGTTGTCTCTGAAAAGTCTCAAAACTTTTCCAGCCCTATTCAAAGTCTTGCATCCATTGAGAAAGTTACTTTTAAGATTAATACACAGTCTTGTATATTGTTTGAAAGTGATTGTCCAATCTTCCAAAAAAAATTAAACAAATTTATTTTAATAATCCACAGTCTTATTCCTTAGGTGATATTGTGATCTTTGTCAAAATAGGGTCTATTTATTTGTATTATTCAGAAGCTCGTGATCAGACCATTATTAAGTTTTTGTGTTGTAAATAGTATTGTTTACCAAAACCTAGATATTTAAGTTGGCAAAAATTTTCAAACTTTTCAAGTCTTAAAGATTTAACTTAAGAGAACTACAAATATGTATATAAAAGAAAGATATTGTAGTTGTATGAGATAGAATTGTAACATCTGTCGAAATGAATTTTTGATGAGAAGTGTTAAAGGGTTTTTCCTGTGGAAAATTAGTGATGTTAGTCGTTTACCACATTAAAGAGTCAACTGAGAGTGTCACCTCTTTGTTTATTTATTGTTTGCATTTATTATAGTTGACTTCAGAATTCCTTGAAGCAGATGAAGGTTTATGAGTTGTAAGTGGGGGAGTTACATTAGGGCACAGATTCCCATAGAGGTGGTGAGTCCCACCCTCTTGCTAAAGTATGGAGACATGCAGAAGCAGTTAAATTCTTACATACATCCGTTACAGATGAGATAAACAAATCTTTTGTGCACCACCATATCAGGCCAACAATCCTTTGCAAAGGAGGAGGTGAGACGGCAGTTCCTCAATAAACCAAGTAGAGACCATAAACTTGACATTTTATGCGTTAAGACCTTGCATGAATTTCTATGACTGGCCATTGATTGGTGCTTGATGCTTGGATGAAATACATTACGATCATCTCGGGATTCATATTTAAAAGGGCACAGGAGAATTCTGATATTGTCCATTTTGGAGCTAGTACATTACTACTATTGTATGTTTTTATATATTTCAACTGTTCGTGTAGAAGAAACATAGTTTCTTGACTAAATGAGCACAGAACACATATCCCAGTTCCCTTGGTTACGTCATCAGGCTCTCCGGGACATTTAACTTTCAAGTTGCTGTGCGTCTGCCTGCCTTTTGTGCAATACATAAATACCAGCTGGCAAAGGTAGTAAGAATAAAAATTGCGGACGAACAAATAAGTGGCCCACAACGCGCAGCCGAGTGTGTCACTGATGATTTCAGTAAGTAAGTATCTTAATTTGAGTGTCAACTACATCTAGCGTCATAATGACGCTAATTGGGGAAACTATATTAAGAAGAAAATTTAAAAAGAAAGGATAAACATTAAAGTACAATTCTAAAAATGCAGAAGATAGAAAAAATACTAATAAAAAAAAAGTTTTTTAGTGTCATCCTGTAACTGAACAGACGCACGGTAAAATGGAATCTTTTTGTTTTCTATGATAAAGGAGCAAAATATTGTAGCGTTGACGTCATTTATGCGTTAGTCCTCTAATCAATGATAAGTGAGAACCAATCAAACCGCGTGTACGATCAGCTTCTTTTAGAAAACATGCGCAGACGCTGAGAAATTCAGATTTGCGTGTAAACTCATTGGTGCACTTCCTCTTTTTTTCTTTTTTTTTTTGCATTCTTTGAAATTTATACCCCTTTTCTTAACGTTTTCTGGACATTTTGATTTGTGTCTATGTGTTTAGAGTTGACTACATGAATGAGAAGACTGGGGAAAAAATCCAAAGGTGAACTGATAATTAGTGCTACAATCGGCGACACAATTGTTCACACATTAATCTTTTCAACCCCTTTTTACTTCAGTTTTCTCTCTTTTGCCTTCATTTAAGTTAACATATTAATCCCCTTCCCTCCAAAAACAATGTTGTATCGTGATTCTATGAATTTTTAGCCAACACTGAATGGGGAAGGGGTGTCTGTTAATGATTCAGAGTGTGGTAGAAACAGGACTGTTATTCATCAAAGAAATAGAACTTTTCAAACATGTGTCAACTAATTTTCACGCTGATTGTAGCCTTCATCAAACGGTTTTATATCCAAGCTAAATTTTGAATGAAATCGTTACGATGAGGTTGAGGTCGATTGGTTTGTTTGCACTCAGTGTAGGATGTTCCCTTTTCCCTAACCACTCCGCCCGAGAAAAATGAGGAACGGAGTGGCGCGCTTTTACGATTTGCACCTGCTCGTGTGACGTCACCTTGGCTTGCACTCGGGGTGAAGAATAGCTTCTTCTCTCTATTATGCTGCCATCTTAACAAAGCCAACCGGCTTTGTGTGAACACAGGTTTTAAAACGTAAACAATCCAGTTCCTGGGTTCATTTGTTTACAAAAATGAAACTTGACCACAGAGTTGAAGCCTTTCTGAAGTTGAGATAAATTTGAAAGGTAATTAGCGGGGAAAAAAAAGTCATCTTAACATGGAAACGCAGGATACTGGGTAATTGTCCCACTACCGGGGAAGTTTCTCGCAACTTGAGTGTTATTGAGCGAGATTCTGCGTGATGCAGGCCTAGTTAGCGGCAGCGAATCATTGTTGGATTGAATTGTCGCTGCTCTTTCTTTCACTCAGAGTTGTAGCTTCCTCAAACACTTGTCGTCTGACTTTATTGACCGAAGGAAATCTACTGTCATTTTTCGGACTATTTGTTGGTTGAATTCAACATAAATCCCGAAATGACCTCAGAAAAAGATGACAAAAACACAACGGGAAGCAAAATGCAGATTGCCATGGGAAAAGCTAAACCTAATAGATATGAAGTTTATGGCAACAGTGAGGCTGGCAAGCTAGTAGATGCTAATTTGAAAACGTCACCTTCTCCAAATTCTACAACAAACACAGTAAGACTGAATGTGCTGAGCCGAGGAAATCCTCGCGAAAGAGGATTTTCACTGCATGTTAAAGAGCTTGTTGTCCCAGGCAAGGATGATGAAAATTTAAACTCAGCGCTTACAACGCAAAGACCGAGAAGCGCCATGAGTGCCGAGCAAAGCAGCTTTTGCAGTTTGTTTGGCATTTCGCTTAGTCAACCGTTAAAGTACAGTCGTAATGCCGTAAACGTTAAGGAAGTCATGGAAAAACGACGAAGATCTTCGTGTTCGGATCTTTCCAAACGGAACTAAACTGTGGAAGCTCTAAAAACTAAACAACGTTGAAATTCACTACTTCCTTTGATTATTGTTACCTGAATTCTGCGTTTGTGATGAAAGCGGAAAAAGGAGAAAATGAACTACTACTAATTTCAAAGAACTTAAATATTTCCTAGTATCTTATTCCCCGTAAAAGAGCAGGGTGTTTGGAAACATATTCACCAGATCGTTCGATAGATTTTCCTGCTAGTATTTATGCGAATTAAGTTAACTTCCTTAAAGGAGATGAACAAGAAAAATTTGAAAGTAAAATATTGTAAATTAAGTTCAAGGGGCTGTACGACGTTAGCTAAAATAATGATAATGATAAAAAAGCATTATTGTATTTGAAAATTCTTTAACGGCTGAAGGCTTCAGTGGATAACCTTATTTTGGTCCCACTAAAGTAAAGCAATACAACTGATTTTCTGTCTTCCTTATTATTTCAGAGTGTCAATTCGATCTATACGTTTCAATCATTAAGTGGCAGAAAGCCAATCTGAATGCCAGTGAGATTTAGCCACTAATCCTTAGGCCTTATGTGTGAAACAGGGCCTTTTATGGATAAATCTGACCTAATTCCTAAATCAAAATCAATTAGAATTTCATAGCTACTCGAAAAATTTACATACTGTTAAAAATAGGTCTTAAAAATGTCAAATTGAATTAGTGAGAAACATTATTGTTGTTAAATAAAATTTTATCCCCGGATCAGACTTTCAATTTGTAAAATATTCGAAATGTATGCCCAGTTTTGAAAGAAATCAGAAGAGAATTTTGAGCCCTCAAAGCAAAAAGAAAACCGCAAGGAAACCCGCCGCTGATCGTAAGCTCCTTTTAGAATAACATTTTATTTGTCGATGAGCGCAGGTGCTTATTCAATGATGTTCCAACTTATTGTGTTTACAGGCTGTGTTGTTTCTACTTCTTTTTCTTATCTGCGACGCCCACTTAATTTGGATGGATATCAAAATATTATTATTACTTTTAAAATAGACATGATCAGTAAAAAAAAAAGAGAAAACAAAAAAGATAAGAATCCTGTAAAAATATTATAGAATTAAAAGCACTTTTTTTGAAGTTGTCGATTTTGATCAAACAGTTATTGAGTAACGAATATATATATATATATTTATTAAAAACTAGATCATTGGATAACGCAATTTAAGANTAGCCAACTCGGCGCTACGCGCCTCGTTGGCTATCTATCATCTCATATCCAACAAGCGCGAGTGGAATAATTGTTAAATATATATTTTATTGCTATCCGTTGACGCGAAAGAACCGAGGTAAGTAAAGTAATCAGAAAGTGACTTTTTTAACAATCCCGTAATCTGCAGCTCCTAGTTCCTTCCTTGTTTACAAACTTGTTAAAAACTTTTGAATTTATAGCTATTAATAAATATGGCGAAGTTAGTTTGATTAGATATTCCTGTTACTGTAACTCCCTTGTAATTGAAAAAAAAAAAGATAAATTGTCTAGGACTCATCATTCAGGCAAAAGGATTTGTGGTGATCTTTATTACGACATACCGCAGGTCTGAAACGCAGGTCACGGGTAACGGTTGGCGGGTTGTATGTCCCATCGATTAATTGATAATTAATTAATTAATGGCGTGTGTCCCGTAACCCGTCTCCCATGACCCCTGACCCGCCACCCATGACCCGTGTGACCTGCGTTTTAGAACCGCGGTATGTGTTATAGTTGGAATTAAAAGCATTTTGAAGAAAGGGGGGGAAACAGATAAAAATGAACAAATTAATAATTGCAAATTTAAAATGAAAAAAATGAAAAATACAAAGAATAAACGTATGAAAATAGATTGAGTGACGAACTGCGGGCTCATCTTGCTCGTAGAGATCTGGAACGAGGAATTGTTGTAGCGCGAAAATTTGCAAATGCTTGCAAGAGGACGAGCAAAAGGAATTTCTCCATACACAGGATAACTTTAGACGAGCTGCGATCTTTCTGCGAGGAAAACGCCGTTCAGGTAGATACAGACCACAATATCTTTCAGAATACAGTGGTACTTTTTCACATATTAACCAAAGTTTTGAAACTGTGAGTAAAAGAGAAAGCGTGATTTTTAAATAATTATTGATGACCACCAACTTTCAGGTGTTTTTAGACTTGAGAGTGAGTTACCTTACATAAGAAGAATGCGCTTTGAATTTTAAGGTCTTATTCGACATGTTGATATTAGTGGTAAGAAATAAAGAGTTAATTTTTTGTGCATAATGTTTTATACTAAAACAATTATTCGCCTCAGGTTCGGTGAATATTGTCGAATAATCCCCTCGACTTCGTCTTGGGGATTATTCCACGATATTCACCTCGCCATCGGCGAATAATTGTTAAATATCGTTTGCCGCGTGTGCTTATCTGACCACAAACTTACATCATACATGTAGCTTGATTTAGTATCGAGTATAGCGGCATAATATTGAAATTTTGTCGTCAGATACCCAACTGTTGCAAGAAGCCATTCTTTACTACATTGCAGAAATCAAAAATGTGGTTTGTAAGGACCTTTGAATATTTCAAATGCAGCGTGCAAAGAAACAAAATTATACAAATAAACCCTCTACAGCCTAACATTATGATTAGTATTGATATTCTCCAAACTGTTTTCATTACGTTTCTAATGGTACTGATAAGGAGAATTTGACTATGTTACAATTGAGAGCTTCTTGAATAAATTTGAGATCATTTCCTTCATTCTTGTGACCTTGATGTTTTATTTAACGGTGATAATGTGAGGAGATATTAGAAGCCAAAGGGCTCAGTGCAGTGATACTTAAAGAAATTCCTTTTGAAACTCGTGTTGGTTGTTCGGTTTGGTTTATTTGGACAACATCTGGATGGATGTTTATTACCTAGCCATGTCAGGGTGAAGACTGAGCACTTTGCCTCAAGCTTAGAAACAAAAATGCTGTTTTGGCAACATCAAGACTTGACTTATAAGCTTTAAGCTTGAGACAGAAATGTTCCACTCCACTAATCATTCAAGGCTCAAGATCAGCTATTCTAGATGTTAAAAAATATACCATTAGTTTCATCTGAACACTGATTGTAACCATAATTGAGACTTAACATGTGCTTTACAAATTTTATTTGAACAACCCATCTTAACTTGGAATTATTACAAAGCAGAATCATCTTTAAAAAACTTCATGATCATGAATGAGTTTCTGCTTGTCTGTAGACTTGTGGCAGTATGTTATGAAACATTCTAAGAATAACTTTGTACTGGTTCTGAGAACATCTTGTATCTCATTGACCCTTGATATTGAAAGATAAATTGATTATCCATGGCTTTTAGGCCAATTAGTGAAATTTAAATACAATGAAGCTAATATATTATCAATTCATGTCTGTAAAATATAATACTCAAACTTCTAACAAGGGCCATTGCATAGTTAAATTCTCTTATTTTCACTTATAACCTTATGGCCCATTTTGAAGCAAATCTAGGTGTAAAAATTAACCTTTAGAAGGATGACAATGTTGGTTTGGTAAACATATAAGTCAATCAAATAAAATCAAACCTATGCTAATTTCGAAGAGTAGGTTGTCGAATAAAGTGGGCAGTCAACTAACTGTTACCTACGTATGAATTAGTAAGCTATTTCTGCCAATTCTAAAAACCATAAATTGTAATTAAAGAATTGAAAAGCAAGCATGATAACTACGTAAGCTTACCTAGAATTGCTGATAGTACATTACTAGTATTGATCAATTATTAGTATTTAAACATACTTCCCTTTCAACCATCATTTGAATCAAATTGACTGGTTCAGGATTAAGATCATTTTTCTAAATGATATATATTAGGCATTTCAAAAACCAAGGAGGAAGACTTTTGTTGAGAGTTTGAGTCAATTTTTTTGTTTCCAATTTGCAAATTCATTGAAATTGATGCTTTCTAAAATATTCGGCAAATTTCTTGCATCATTACTTCTGAAGAACTCTGTGACTTGAAAGCCTTGCTTTAAAATAAATTTTAAATAATGTGCCTTTGTAATACTCCCTGGCTAGACCCCAACCCATCAATTGCCACTTGTCATTCTCTTAACAAGAGATAAGTTTATGTTCATTTCTGTGTACATGTGTTTCATTTTGCTCCTTTGTAAATGAACAAGACACTAACACTACTTTAAATTGAATTTTTGGGTATCATCTAATTAGTAATTTATCTACTGTATGCCCATCTTTGAACTAATTGCAAATTAAAGTAGACATCAAACTCTATTAGAGTCAAAATCATTGCTCCAATTAAATGATTTAAATCAATGAAATTATCATCAGATAACTCACACAATCCCCTTTCCTATTGTTTAAATTATAATCCTGAAGGCTCATTTAACAAGTTCAAAATGGTCCAAATGTATCAATGATACCAAATGAAAGCATGTAATACATAATAAATATGTATCCAGTTTAAATAATAAGAAAAAACTATCATCAATGTTCTGAAGAAAAAGAACTAAACAGCCTCTTCAACTGTTCAAAGCACATAAACATGACAATATTCCATGCTCCCAGCCTCATGAAGTTTGGTGTAAACCTAAAATTAAAATAAAAGAGAGATGAGAAAAAATCTAATTTAATCTAGTCACAATAATTGATTAGTTTAGTAATCATTAATGGAGCATTACACCTCTTAGCTCAAGTCCACTGTGACTGTTGTCCTTTCCATGGTTTAAGTAAATTTTAATATTATCAACTTGTTAACTCCTATTGTTTTGTTTGCAATTCTCCCTTCTGGTTACAAATTCCTACTGTATGTTGTTCATTGGCCATCAGAAATATTAGAATTATCTGGCTATCACACAGCACTAATTGACTAAATTTTAACAATATAAGCCATTTTTTTCACTCGTAGAGCTGCATGTAGTATTTAATCCTGATATGTTTTTCTCTTGCTACCACATTTTTTATTGATAACCTTGCCTCTTTCTCAATTATTGACAAAAAATGACAGAGTAATGGCATGGTTAAGTGTGGTTGGACCTGAACAACTCTGATCAGATGTCAGCTCTATAATTCCACATGTTTCTGAATGCTAAATTGTTCTAATAAAATTATAGCTATTGGGGAATTGGCAACAATTACATCATTTTAAGGTGCCTTGCCAGAAGATCTAATCTGATCAATGAGTAAAGGGAGAAATGGACATCTTAACTGAAGCAAGGCTATGAACATACCCTTTATAATAAGCCAGAGGCCCATTGTGCTTCAGCAACATATAGGCACAGTGGATGGCACTCTTGTAAGTGTTTGGTGGGGAATTCATGTAGCGTGTCTTCACTACATCTACAGGAGATGCTACCACTGTGGTTGCAAAACCAGCACCAAAGGCAGAAACAAAATGCAGCGGGAAATCATCAGCCATGAGTTTATTTCTCAGAAAGAACCCTTTCACCATGTCATACACAACCAGCTCTGATGCATTCACGGTGGAAAGGCGTGCCATATTTGCAAAGGCACCTTTCCATAGTCCGCGAAGTCCTTCATTTTTGAATATTGACATATAAGCATCAAGAGCCTTGTTAGATCCAAATCTTGAACCATCAGCCTGAAACCTTACTTTAGCAACTTCTGTTGGTTGAGCAACAGAAACAGCAAACACCCCTGTTGTGCAACTGGCTAGAATCTTCTTTATGACTTTAGGATTGTTGACATCATCATCTCCATAGAATTCTTTGACTGTGTCATAGAGTCCTATCCTAATGCTGGCAAAACAAAGTTGGCGATGAATTCCAGGCACAAGCCCTTTATACAGAGAGCGAAAACCATCAGTTTTTGCCACAGTTATCATGGAGCCTATCATTCCTCGATATTGGACATTAGAATTTGCCGTTGCTACACCATTTTGAACATTTGCCAAGACTGCATTTTCACCCTGGATCTGCAAATAATTGAAGTAATCTGTCAGTGATATCTGTGGAAAGATCAGGCCTTCTTTTCACTTCCTACGAAAGGCCTAGTCATCAGTGATGATCACTTGCTTTCAAGTTGTTGAATTGTATCATTCACTGACTGCATAACAATCCTTTTCATGTCTTCTAAACCATTTCATAACACTGTGTGATCACCCTTCTGTCTCTAAGTGATACCAATGGCTATTTTAGAGGATGGTAGGGGGGGGACTTCAACCTCTATTCTTATCTTGATAAAATGCTAGCTTCTTCTAACCCCTTTCACTTGCAAGACCTCAATAATTTTTTTGTTACTGTCTGCCATGCAATTCTTATACTTCTAGTTCTGGGATTTGGTGTTGAATTTAACTATATTTTCTCCTTATTATTCTTCTTTCCTCTCGTCACCGTTCTACTTGATTACGTCCTGACATGGTGAGGAGAAATTACTCACTTGTCCAGGTATTGAAAAGATTATCTACTTATGGAGAACTAAGAAACGAAGGAAAAGGGAGAGTCAGAAATCAGATCTTGGAAATCATAAGTCTTCTAATGGTGTTAGAATCAAGACTTTTGGAGAGTTTGTTTTAAACGATTTTATATCCACTTTTGTTTTTTTCGCGTGGCACTGCGCACTCGGTATAATCAAATTGTCAAAAAAATTACGATCACTTCCTCCTGCTGTCACGCACTATATTAACAGGAAAATCAAGACTTTATGGAGAGTTTGTTTTGAACGATTTTATGTCCACTTTTGTTTTATTTCTCGTGGCACTGCGCACTCGGTACAATCAAGTTGTCAAAAAAAATTACAATCACTTCCTCCCGCTGTCACGCACCACAATAACAGGAAACTTCGTCCTGTCGAACTTAGCTACGAAACCAGTGCGAGTATTTTGCTTTAGAACGACAAGCGAAAAGGAGACGTTATTTTTTAAACAGACGTGACTGCCTTTAGCGGGTCGTAATCAGAGCGACACGTCACACGGGCTGTCTTTAGTACGTTAGAGATTCATATTCCACGCGGCATTACATCACCTATCTAACTACAACACATCTATTTGTGAGCGTCGTATTTGAGAAGTAGGCATCAATGATTTCGCAATTAAGCACAGCGTATTCCCTTAACTTTACGAAGGTGACTGAAGATTCTAATCGATCGTCGATCAAGCGATAATCATGGATAGGGTTAAAATTTATTAGACCTGCCATCTCGAGTGTATTGACCCCGCTTTGATAGCAGAAAATACAATACATAATTTCGATGAGTGGAAAACTTTTAATGGCCTAAAGATTGGATTCTTAAGAGTAAAATTCCAATCATTTCATTGGCGTCTTAGTTTGACAAGTTCTGTTTTCAATCCTGACCAACAAGCTACCCGTGCGATTTGTTGTAAGTTACTTACCTGAAGTCGAACTTTCGCTGTGTCGATCGGTATGGTGACGGCTTCAGCAACTGAAGCAGCTAAACCGGCGCTTACAAACTTAATCAAGATGCTAGGTTCTGTCTGTCCTGGTTTGCTATGCATTTTTATGGTTTAAAGCAGAAAACCATCAGTAGCATAAGCGAAAGCGAGAGAACGCACGGAAGATCTCGGAAGGGGTCAAAATAGAGCTGGTTTTCTCTGGTTGGTTCGTGGCAATTCTCCAAGTTCACAAACTTGGTGTATCAGAGTCAGATCAGAGGTGATTCTGTTACCTTTGCAACTGACACAATGAGAAAAAATGGAGTGATCTCAGATAGGAATTCCGCATCTTAAATTAAGCGGGCGGCGTGACTAGGAGATTACCGTTTGTTGAATCATAATATTTGTTCCACGTTTACGTTGGGCTACCTTCGAAAACAAAACAATGCTAGGCTGGCCTTCTCTTTACCATTCAAATACAGTGTTAAACCTTTCCTTTCCTCCCAATGATATCCCTTGTAACTATTTATAAGACGGATTTGAGGCCAAAGTCCAAAACTCGCATTGTTCACTTTGTATTTATTGCCAAGAAATTTTTTGATTGGTGAATCGGATGGGGCGTGATTGGAGGCGTTGACAGGATATTGCATCATCATTATTATGGTTTGTATGAATTGTTTCGCTAAATTTCCTGTGGGTTTTGTTATTGCCTCTTTCATGCAAGGACTCTTCAGTTTCTCGATTTCTAACACCATTGTAGGCTAGTTCTAAGTCTGCTGTTTTACCTTTATTTCAATGGTTGGTTATGAAATTGACATCACTTTGTTCTGGCTCCAATCGTTCCGTTACAGTGCTGATTTATATGGTGTTCAACGAACCGTTTAACCAATGAGTGATTTTTTCGGTGAAAATGCACAGGTCAAGAGTAATAATGACTTTGTTCGTTTTCAAAGGTTCTATTACGTGAGAAGCCTTTGAATTGTTTTTCCTTTTTCCGTCCTGGAACTCTATTCAGGTGGTGACAATTTACGTGCAAGTATGACAAAGCAGTTAGTGAAAGGGAATGTAAATAGATTTGGAAACCGCTCTTTACGTACATTTTCTCCTAGAGACCGTGATCTTGTCGGTTTGATTGCGCAATGAGAATATTCGCAGAGTTGACGTGTTTTCTCAGATATCATTTAACAGTTTCTCCAAAGTTTCTCCGCGCATTTTTCTTGGATGCGTCTCATACGTTTGTCACATGATTCTGGTAGCCTTTTATAAGGGTGGGGCTGGGGAAGGGCTTGGTTGTGTGGCCCAACAGCATAGCATGGCCTGAAAACCTATTCTAAAACATCAATTTTCCGGTTTTATCTTGCCTATATTGGAGTTAAAAATAATTAGATTTGGAAACTGTTCTTTGCGTCTGTTTTTTTTTTTTTCCCTAGAATCTGCGTTCTTATAGGATGTGCTCGTGCAATGGCAATATTCGCAGAGTTGACTTGTTTTCTTACTCATCATGTGATGGTACAGATAAGGAAAAGTGAAATTTTCTCCAAGCTATTTTCGTGAGTGCGGGAGCTCGTCTCAAGTTTGTCATATGATTCTGGTATGAGGGGGCGGGGAGCGTAGTGGAGGTTTGGTTGTGTGGCCTGACAGCAAAGCATGATCTATTGCATCACGTGCTCCAGTTGGATATATCTTCCCATTTCATCTTTCCAACTTTAGACCTGTTTACAGACTTTGCCGCATGGAACCTGGTGTGATATTCTACCCAGATATATCCTTTTACGGTAGAAGAAACTCGAAAATATCGCATGATTTTTTTGTTAGACATACCATGACACTGCACGAAACATTTCCCCTATCATGATCACGATCATGCTATTACTTCGCTTGATTGGTTATTAGAGGATTACAAAACCATCTCTGTTAATTTGAGAAAATGGACATGTTTTCAGATCAGATAAAGCTTCCCAATAAATAGGGTAGATTTGAATGGGATATGAGAGACGGAAGCCATTATATTGACGAAATTCGTGTTTAATATGCCTAAATATTTTAACTTTCTCTTTTCGTTTCGACCAAAGGTAGCCGGGTTAGTGGTCAGCTCGATGTCTACAAATTTATGCGACCTAAATGCTTCATAATAAATTTCATAGATAATTTTTCTTCGCGTTATTTTCGTAGCTTATCCTTGCAACTTTTTTTTTTTGGGGGGGGGGGTCAGCAACGTGACAGCCGCGGAGGGGTGGCTTTGGTTGTGTGGCTCAAGAGCATTTCAAGACCTGAACTCTTATTAATCCAGCTCATTAATTCAGTTGGATCTATCTTCCTGTGTCGTCTTCCCTAGTTCAACGTAAAGGTGAATTACACCGTTATCTAAGCGTCTGTTCATTTGGGGCTTGTTGGGTCCCTTTTATCGAAGAGACAACCAATCTGAGGCTAGGTCTTGGTTTGTGAATTTTGAAAAGTTAATCGGCTTTGCTGATGTTCTCCGAACAAAATAATTTCGTTTCCTGTCAAAAATGTCACAATATATGTCGACACCGATAGTACCAGTTATGTTACGGGCAGGGAAAACTGATAGGAGTTACTGAAAATGTTCTAATCTTTTCAGACGACAACATTTTTGATAAATATTTCGTTTTACACAACGAACGGTAGCCCTTTGCTCCATTACGGCTTTTTTCGGGATTGACCTTTTATGCGCGGGCTCATTTCCCGACCAGTGACTTGTAATGGAGCCTATGTCTTAGCAGAAAAAAAATAAACTGCTAGGAGTAAATGAAAAATTAAGGGAGAATTTCTCGGCCGATTTTTTTTTTGCCCATAGTTTCAAATAGTTTCTTCGCAAGTGCGTGGAAAGTTGCAGAAGTGATTTGCGTTCCTAAAGACGGAGATGCTGGAAATCCATGTAACAATCGGCCCATATCATTGCTACCGGTACTATCCAAAGTGAATGAAAGATTGGCCCACAAACAATTTGTCACATCCTTAGACAATAACAACAAGTTATCACAATTTCAAAGTGGCAACCGTAAATATCACTCCACCGAAACGGCTCTTCTATTTGTCACTGATGACCTATTAAAAGCTATGAATGAAAAGAAAATCTCCGAATATTGGTGTTGATGGATATGTCGAAGGCTTTTGATAGTATAAACCATGACATGTTGTTATTTAAAATTCGAAGCCTTGGTGTGTCTCCATCAGCGCTAGAATGGTTTAAAAGTTACTTAAAGGGAAGGTATCAGTATGTTCGTATTGGGGATGTGGTTTCGTAGTCCCTCCCAGTTGATTATGGAGTTCCACAGGGATCTTTTCTTGGTCCCGTTCTGTTTACTGTTTACATAAATGATTTACTATCTATACCTAAACGTTGTCAATCTGCTGTTTATGTTGATGACTCCAAACTTTACTTAATATTTAAAACTAGTGAGCTATATAATGCAGTCTCTGCACTTAACTCTGACCTAAACGAAATTTGTATGTGGTTTTGCCACAATTCACTACCTTTAAATCCAGATAAAACTAAACTTTTAGTGGTAGGCGTGCCGCAATTCGATGCGGTCAA